CCCACACACACACACACACTCACACTCTCCACTAATCTGATATTGCTTCTGGTGAATGCTGCCTGCACAGTAGCTCGACCAGGTTTTGAAATTCCCCTATCTCTCAATCTTGAAGGCCTCTTTTCTCTTGTGTCTTTTATGAAGCAGACACATAGTACTGTAGTTTANCCCCCCACACACACACACACACTCACACTCTCCACTAATCTGATATTGCTTCTGGTGAATGCTGCCTGCACAGTAGCTCGACCAGGTTTTGAAATTCCCCTATCTCTCAATCTTGAAGGCCTCTTTTCTCTTGTGTCTTTTATGAAGCAGACACATAGTACTGTAGTTTAAGATCTGTCTTAGGTAATTCTAAGGAAGGTTTTATGTTCTCTCGTGCGGGCAGCTTTTTGTCTGTTCATCCTTGTTTTCTTTATGCAGTTCTTCTTTGGAGATTAAGACTTAGTTGTTGTTATACTTGCATTAGGTTTGTCATCAAAAGTCTCTCTATCCTATTTAGAGACGTATATGTCCATGTAAGAATAAGTGTGCAATCTAGAGAACCTTTAGATAACCCTTAATTTGTCCTAAAAGGCAAGTTGCCTTGTATTGAAAAGAAATAGACCTGATGGAGACATGGAGTGTAATAGATACATAGGATCATATTTGGGATTTAGAAGTAGTTGATTGATTGATAATATATATTGCATGCACGATTTGTAGAATGATAATGTTGAGAAGATAATATTTATAGAAATTGGTTGGCAACTTACTAATTGGGAAAAGAATAAAGAAGTGAGGACTCTCCTTATTATTCGTCTTTATTTTCTTCCTGGCCTTCTAACCTACAATTTAATAGTATTTGCTTTTTGTTAAAGGACATATTAAGTTTCTTCTTATTTGGTGCCTGTAGAGTTGGAAAACAGATTACTAGCTCGATTTGATGCGGCTTCACAGAAGCGGGAGTTGTCTACAATGCGGGAATGTGCTAAAATTTTGTCGCAGGTAAACCAAGTAAATCACGTAGACGTATAGTTTTGTTCCTCTGGTCACAAAGCTCCATGTGTAAAGTTCTATGGAAAAAATAGGATAAGTTGAGTTGATCATAATCTAGAAAAAAAGCTTGGAGCTTTACGAAGTGGTTATTAAGTTTTTCATTCTTGATCCCGGTTGGTTGCTTCTCCTTTGAACCATCTGATGTTTCCGTTGTGTACTTAGAGTCAAGTATCAGATTCTAGGTTATTTACATTTCAGAAAAAATTTCAGCTTTTGACGTGTTACTTTTGGAAAGCAGTTTAATAGGGGTACCAGTGCTATGCAACACTATGTGGGATTATGTCCAATGTTCGATGTGGAGGTCATGAATGCAGATGCTGAATTGGTTCTTGGAGATCAGGGTGCCCAGCCCAGCCCTAGCAATGTCGCGCGTGGTCTTTCTTCAATTTTTAAAGAGATTACAGGTTATCACTGACAAATTGATATGAAAATCTAACAGTGGTTCTCTTTTTAGTACATGCCTCCTGACGCCTTGGATTTACTTTCAGAGACTGTGCGGAAAGAAGCAGCCACTATTGCAGCCGTTTTTCCTTCCCCAAACGATGTAATGTCAATACTGGTTCAGGTATGGGTGGGTTACTACTGGCGTTGTGCTTGAGGTAGATTAGTTCTAGAATTATCTTCCTCTGGTGCGATGATGTTTCCAGTATATCAGAGTGATTTTGCTAATTCTTGACTTGTTATATGACCAACATGCTTTCCGATGAATATTCACTGATTTTTCTGTAACGTTGCTCCCTATTTAATGTTTTGAGCTTCCTCCACGTCATCTGCTATTCTGTATTGGTTCTGGTTGCCATTCAAGTAAAATGATTGCCTAAATGCGTTACTGCAAAAAATGTATTGTGATTTGTGAATTGTGATTTAGTGACTAATCCGTGGTGGTTGTTCAGCGTGTTTTGGAGGATCGTGTTCCAAAGCTTCTTGAGAAGCTCTTACTGAAACCGTCTCTTGTCAGTGCACCTCCCATGGAAGAAGGAGGACTTATATTAGTGAGTAACATGACGAGATTTTCTTCTAAGGTGCTGATTGACAGGGAAAGAATGACCCACTAATTGATCCCTTTGCTGTTCATTTTTGTGCATTCAGTATCTCAGATTGCTAGCCGTGGCATATGAGAAGACACAGGAGCTTGCAAGAGATTTACGTGGGGTAGGGTGTGGCGACTTGGATGTTGAAGGTAGAAATGCCTTCCATCATCCCAACTTCACAAACATCTTTTTTTAACTTTTTTGTTGTGTGAATGTGCTGGAACCTCCAAGTGAAGAATACAAAGACTGGTACACCGTACATAACTGCTTTTCATTTGGATTACATATTGCTTCAAAATGATATATTGAGGATGTACTTTTATGGAGACATGTATACGCCAAAAAGTTATAAGTATTCTTTAATGGAGACATGTATAAGCCAAATTTTTTAAAGTGTCTTGACACTGAAATCACTTTGTTAACTAGGATGAGGGCTGTGACAAATCTCTAAAGCCCTACACAATAAGGTATTGCTATTGGATGTAAAACAGAAGATTTACCTCAATTCCGTTACAGAACGTTCATTTCCTCGTTAAGAGGAGTGTGAAAAGACACTGAAGATAGCAGAAAAAACAATATAAGAATGGCAGCAGGATAAGCAGTTAATCAATTTGATCCACTAGGCTGGGAAGAAGGATGATAAAGTTGTTCTTTTTTTTTTCCCCCTTCTGGCGTAAAGGAAGAAGATCAATTAATTGAATTGGAGGTAGAAGCAAAAGAAGGAAGACCGGATATCTTCTACCATTGAATGGGCAAAAAGAAGGAAGACCGGATATCTTCTACCATTGAATGGGCAAAAAGAAGGAAGACCGGATATCTTCTACCATTGAATGGGCAAAAAGAAGGTACCGCATGGCTAGTGAAGCTTGGTGGTAAATACAGATTGTTGAAGAAACTTGAGTTCTTTCCTTACCACCAAAAGTTATGTATCACTAAGAAATAGGTTGATGACAAAAAGCTGAAGTCTTGGACAATTCCTCACTTGTTCTTTTTCTCCCTTTTAATAATTTTTTTCTTTCATTCCAAGTATTATCTGTTTTCTCTAGCTATTGATAGTTGGAAAATAAAGAAAAGAGAAAAGATATATTGATGAGTCGATGTTATGGTAAATACACTATACACCTTTTGTAGGTGTCAACCATGATAATACACATATAAATTCGTCTAATGCTGGACAATATCTTATGTAAGAACTTGACACTTCTAATATTCTAATTCTAACACCTGACATGTCCCTTTGAAATTAAAGTGGGAAAACCAATTTGAGTTTGCTTATTATGAAAGTATAAAGTACATAATCAACGATATGGTTGCCAGAGATCTTGCTGGACAATTGTCGGAAAGTTATGATTATTGGAATCTTAGTGGAAAAGGTTTAGTCGTCGGGATCTTGTCGAAAAATTTATGCTAGAACTATGGTATGGAAAGACGCGGGTGCCGCTGGGACAGTCATCAGAAAGAGACATGGTACTGCCAAATGATAATCAAAAAGGAGGCACGATGATCTGAAATGGTCACCACAAGAGAAATACAGTACCATTAGAACAGTTGCCGGCAAAAGGCACTGTGCTGCCGAAGCAATAATCAGAGGGGGCACGTACTGCAGGAATGGTCAATAAGGATGGTAGGCCGAAAGGTCACCAAAATTAAGAGTGAGTGGTGCCACGAGCACGGGCACGGTACTAAAATTATGAAAGAGTAAAAAACATTAGTCAGCTGACCTGCCATGTAGACAGAAGCTACCTAGATCTTTACCTAGAAGAGGATTGATATCTAGTGAGAAAATAAAGATAAGAGATGAGATATACTGATGATTTAATGATTGGATAAATAAAAGAAGCACCACTTTATAGGTGTTAACCACGATATGCGCATGTTATCTCTCCAATGTTGGACAGTATCCTACTTTAGAACTGGACACTTCTAATATTCTATTTCTAACTTTTAACATTCTAACATTGATCAATTATAATGTCCTAGTTGCTGAATGTTTATCTTTAGTTAAATAGAACTAAACTACAATGAGGAATATGTAGATGTAAATACCAAATCTTAAACCTGACCTTTCTTGTGTTATCCTAAGTTAGTCTTTGCGTCTGCTTGAGTTCCAAAAAAGTACAGAAATATTTGATTGGTAAAATCAAATATTTGTTCTGCAACACTTTTTGGTGAAGAAATTTTCTACTGTTTAAATGGTCTCGAAAGAAGCAGGTGCTGTTTCCTTTTTTCTATTATATATGCCTTTGGTATATGTCCGTTACATTCTCATGTAGTTTTTTCCTCTTGTTACAGGATTAACAGAATCTCTGTTTCTACCACACAAAGACATATACATCGAGTATGAGCAGGCCTCTCTTAGACAACTTTACAAAGCTAAGGTTGGGACACTCTGTCTCTTAGTGGTCTATCATCTTAACCTCAGGATATATCTCTATCTAGTCCTCTCTTTCCTTTTTACCCTTTTTTTCATCCTCTAAGTCGCAGAAGAAAAATTTAAGAAGAGACTTTTACACCATAGAGGTAAATAACTACTGAAATAACACTATAAATATTAACATGTCTGCTTTCCAATATTTTATTTGGTTGTGAGGATCAATTAAAATAAACTGGAGATTGAAGCACTGTAAAGAGAAAGAGAACAGATTTATTGACTGGCAACTTGCTGTGTTAGCTGGTTCTGTGAAATTTTGAAATTATTTCCTTGCAGAGCCCAAATAAGCTGCAATAGGATAACTTTGGGTGGATTTTAACCTAATCTATTTACATAAAGTACAGTAGTTTAGCTGACTCACTTATGATTTTCTGGAAACCATTAAACAATCTTGAACTTCTAGGGGTACAACCTTAGCAGAAAAAGATCGTTATTAGTGGCATGATCTTGCAGCAAAACTCAGTGTTTATGGAAGCTTTCCACCTTTAACATATTATGTTGACATGTACTTATGAACTAGTGTAAACACACTTTGGTTACACTTTGCAGATGGAGGAGCTGCGTACCGAAGGCCAGCAATCCTCTGAGTCATCTGGAACAATTGGACGCTCAAAAGGTGCTTCAATGGCATCCTCTCACCAGCAAATTTCTGTCACTGTGGTGACAGAGTTTGTGCGTTGGAATGAAGAAGCAGTATCCAGATGCACTTTGTTTTCATCACAGGTATATGTGACATATGTTTCAAGATGTTGCACGAGCTACAACTTACTCTTTCTTGAAATGCAAATACCTCCAAGATGGCGGGGAACAGCTTCTTGATTTAAAAAATTAAGCTTAGTGGAAGATCCAAAAAATATATATTCCTGAATGCTCAAGTGAATTTACAAATTCCATATGTAGCCTTTTCGGTTTGACGGACTCTCTCTAATAAATCTTGATAGTGAGAGAAGGGTTCGAGAGTGGATGCCAGTGGTTATTTCATTTTATTCAGAGAGATAGAGAGAGGGAGGGAGGAAGAGGGAGATGGAGTCTTTCTTGTCCTCATCGTGATGCTTTTTAGAGAAATTTGCTGTAGAAGTGGGAAGAGATACCAGATACTTGGAAACAATGTAATTTTACTAGTTGCCTTCTTTATAGAAAACTGAATCAAGGATAGAATTTAGTTGTTTTTTTTCTTTTTTTTCTTGCACTTATTGTTGCAAGGATTTTATTCTGGCTTATCCATATATTTTGGCAAACTGTGATGTAGAAAAGATTGGCATGCTAACTTCATCTGTATTACTCTGAACTTCATTGATTTCTTTGTGCACGTAGCTTTGTCTTCTGTTAGAACGAACTAAATTATTTAGCGAACAGAGGCAGTTCTTCCTGAAAATGTGTATGCTAGTTATCCACAGCAAAAATTAGAAAGTTGATGCTTATTTTTAATTTCCTTTTGAAGATGTCATGTTCTTTGTCTGCAAACAAGTTTATTGGTCATGTTAGAGGAGTAAAGTAATCAAATATTTTGTTGTCCGTTTCCTGTAGACTTGTGCAAAAGGTCTTCGAACAGCACCTTGTCCTACNGTTCTTTGTCCGCAAAAGGCAATGTGAACGTTCTTCTGACAAGTTTATTGGTCATGTTAGAGGAGTAAAGTAATCAAATATTTTGTTGTCCGTTTCTTGTAGACTTGTGCAAAGGTCTTCGAACAGCACCTTGTCCTAAGAGATTGATATTGATCTAACTTGATTCATTTCAGACCTTACAGGATTGAACTAATTGATTGTTAGTCTGTTTGTACAGCCTGCTGCAGTTGCTGCAAATGTAAGAGCTGTTTTTACATGCCTTCTAGATCAAGTAAGTTCATTACCTTTCTATTTTGAAGTTTGTTTCTGCTGGCAGTATTTACATTACTTTCATCTGGCATGCGGAGTATGTAACTTAATGAATTTTTTTTTGGAAAGGTAAAAATGGTAATTCAAAATGAGTTTTCTGGGAGATTGGGTATATTTTCATTTTTTATGTGGTATCATTACCTGCCTTGTTCTAACTTTTTCAGGTTAGTATATACATAACTGAAGGTCTTGAAAGAGCCAGAGACAGCCTTACCGAGGCTGCTGCTTTGAGGGAAAGATTTGTGCTTGGAACTAGCGTTAGTCGAAGGGTAGCTGCTGCAGCTGCTTCTGCTGTAATTACTTTGGCATTCCTGTTTACTACTATCTGAAGTTTATGTAAATTTTCATTGTAGATGATTATACTTTCATAGATTTGGCTGATTTAAGCATATCATTTGTGGTATTTAGGCAGAAGCAGCAGCTGCGGCTGGTGAAAGCAGTTTCAGATCTTTCATGGTTGCTGTGCAACGTTGTGGGAGCAGTGTGGCTATTGTGCAGCAAGTATGTTGGTTTGATGCTAGTGGACTTGTGAAAATCCTTGTTTGATTAGAGAAATAACACAATCTTGTGTTGTCTCTTGTAATGTTCATTTTGAACTCCTTTTCTTCAGTATTTCGCAAACTCTATATCTCGGCTTTTACTACCTGTGGATGGTGCGCATGCTGCTTCCTGTGAAGAAATGGCTACAGCTATGTCAAGTGCTGAGGGTGCTGCTTATAAGGGGCTTCAGCAGTGCATTGAAACTGTTATGGCAGAGGTCTGTGATTCAAAACATTTTATCTGGTTTTAGGGCTGTTCTAGGCTTTGTATGTGGGAATTGGCCTCAGCAGTACCATCACAATAGTCACTACTCACTACCAGTCTGTTTGAATTTCCCAGATTCTATTATGTTTCCTTTCAATCAGAGTTGTACTTTGATATTTGCTTACACTTTCTTTGGCTGTTCTCAGGTGGAACGCATACTTTCAACTGAACAAAAAGCCACAGATTATCGATCACCTGATGACGGCATTGCCCCTGACCATCGGCCAACACAAGCTTGTTCAAAGTCTGAACCAGTTAAAACTTTACTTATGTCATGTAGAATAGAGAAGCTATAAAAATATGATCTTTGGAAGGATATTAAGCTTGCCTATTATTTACTGGCTTGCAAAAAATCAAAACATGCCATTCTCAATAAATCAAGAATGCATCAAAGTACTAAAGTTTCTGATAGCATAGAATTGGCCTTTCATATATTTTCTTATCTCTTTCTTCGTATTACATCTCAGGACCTCTTGAATTTTTTTTTTTTTTTTTTTTAAATTCTGAAGGATATTTCCTATTTCTTACGGCTTCTCCCTTTACCAGAGTTGTCGCATACCTTTCACGGGTGCTTGAATCGGCATTCACAGCACTGGAAGGGCTTAACAAACAAGCTTTCCTGACTGAATTGGTATAATCCTGTTCTTGTTTCTGCTTATACTTTATCCTAGCTGACCCCATACTGCTGGCAATGTCCTCTGTGTTATGTTTTGAGTTGCCCAATCTTTAGGCTACAAGTTACGCTAAGTGATCCTTGACCCAACTGGTTAAGTGATCCTTGACCCAACTGGTTAACGTTTTATTTTTTGGGGATTTGTTTTTCTTTGTTGGTATAGAATGACCCTGTAGCCTGTGACTCCAAAATTCCTACCCAATGGAACCTCCAAATAATTGAACTGACAAACATGCATTTTATAACAGGAGATATTTACTCTATGCGCCTATATAACTGTTTTTGGATTGTCAAGAACATGTTAATATTTAGGCCTCATTTGTTTTTTTAAAGATTAAACGTCTGAATATGAATGCATATCTGGATATTAAGATGTGTATCAAGATTAGAACGTCTGAATCAGAATATACATATGAATATTTAAGATGTGTATTAATATCTGAATACTAAATGATTAAGACTGTTTTGTTTTTTCAACATCTAAAGTTTTTCTTATTTAACAATTGATAAATAGAAAATTCAAATAAAATACTAATTAATTTAATATTCTATTAATAAATATTTTTAAAAATAATATAGTAGTTGTTGGTGGTGATGGCTGACGGTGGCACTTATGAATGCCGACCAAAGGTGGTGGTTGGTGGTGGTTTTGATTAATGTGGTGGTTCTAGGTAGTAGTTAGTGGTGATTGGTAGTGGTAGTTATGGTTGAGGAAGGTAGTGATCGGGGGTGATAGTTTATAATGGTGGACAATGGCGCCTATGGTTGATGGTGGTGGGGTGGTTGATGGTGGTAGTTGAGTTGGGTGGGTAGTTGTTGAGGATGATGGTGGTAGCATTAGTTGATAATGATGGGGGTGGTGGGTGGTGGTAATCAATAATGGTGGGGTTGGGGGTGATGGTAGTCAATAATAATAGCAGTGGCGGCTATGGTTGAGGATGGTGGTGGTCAGTGGTGGTGTTTGAGTTCAGTGGCGGTTGGTGATGGTGGTTGAGTATGATGGTGGTTGGATGGTGCATGGTGGTATAGGTGATAATGGTGGGCGGTGTCGGCGGTTAGTAGTGAATGTGGATTATAGCATCTTAATGAAATTAAGTCTTTGTTATAGATCTTAATCAATTAGACTTATTCAGACCCATTAAGTGGTTGGGAAATAAAAAGACAAACACACTTAATGATTAAGATCTGACTAATTAAGATTCAGACTTAAAAAACAAGCAAACTTAATATTTGAGATCCGAATGATTAAGATTCAAATCTCCATTAAGTGCAAACAAATGAGGCCTTAGTGTATCTACAACCGTTTTAGAGCTTTGTGCACAATGTGTTCTGTTGCATTCATAAATCCAGCTGATTACATTATCTGCATTTTTTCCCCATTTGTATTACTCTTTGAATCAAAATTTCTGCTAACAATTTGGTGTATTTTTTACTTTTAATAGGGGAATCGTTTACACAAAGGCTTGCTTAATCATTGGCAAAAATTCACTTTTAATGCAAGGTACTTCCTTTCGCTAATGCTGTTATTGCTGCTTGTTTAAGTTGTAAAATTGGAGTTGCAAAAGTGACAGTGACTCGTAGGATCCATGGTAAAAATTATTCCCCTGCCTAGAGTAAGCTAATGCTTATACTCTCATTAGTTTCAATGAGTTTGGGAAGCTATGTTCTAGCAAATATTTGCATTGCCAAGGAGCCAAGAAAGAAATTTCGGATGTCTGTTAAATCAACTTATTAGAAATAAAGAAAAATAGAGTCTCTTTTCGATCGATTGTAAACCAGATGGGAATCTAGTTTCCCGAAGTTCAATAGTTGTGAAACTTCTGCTCATAAATTGAAAGCCAGATAAGAGATTACTATCATTTCCTTTTGTTTTCAGCAAGGTATCAATTTGTGTACTACTGATGCTGCAAGGATCATTCATGGGTTGAGAATGCAAAATTTGTGCATGGACAAACACTTTCTGGAAAACAGTCACTACTCAACTAGGACATCAACTGAAACATCTCAATCCCAAGCAAGTTGGGATAAGCTATATGAATCCTCACTAACCATGTCGCTCCAATTAAGCTCATCTCAGTCCAACATTATAAAATATAAATATAAAGTGCTTGAAGTTGTCCGAGACCAAGAGTCTATGTCTGGGGAGAAAGCTTCCTATACGTTTCTAGGGGGGGTGTTGTTCATCTACATGGTATAACCTTACCATCCTTATACATGGTTCTATCACGTCTTCTTGTAAGGACATAGTATGGTTACCCACAGGGGCAGATTTAGGGGGTCGGAAGGGGGTTCATCGCCGAAAAATTACACTGCATATATAAGGCAAAATCTGTTTTTCACCTCTATATATTATGTTTTGAATCCCCTTGACACAACCCAAAATCATAGCTTAGTGGTCAAGGGGGTTCAAAACTTTTGTGAGGTTGTTGGTTCAATTCCCACTAGCAACAATTTCTTTTAGTTTTTTAACTTTTTTCTTTTTCGAACCCCCTTAACGGAAATCCTGCTTCCGCCACTGGTTATCCCCACTCTTAAATTTTATCAATTGAGATTCCTTCTTTTTAAAATATGTATTTACTACAACTAAAACATATGTTAAAGCGAACTCTAGAATATCCTTTCCTTCATCATTTCCCGTACCATGTACTTGTTCAAAACTATAACTATCTCTACCCACATGACCATTTTGATCTCCCTAATAAGGATTTGTTTGTCTCTTGTGAAGCATATGGCACTAGTGACATTGATTGTCTCATTTCCTCGCATAAGTTCTATTGAGTTAATCCCTCAACTCGCTTTACTTCTACATCCTTATCCTTAATTCAATTTGTGATAGGCGTCATATTTTTTTCCAGAAAGGACTTTACTTTCGTATGCCATGTGCTCCAAACTTGAACTCAACTTCCTTTTTTCACCAACATCTGCTTCTCACTCAAGGGGTGTTTGGACCTTTTGCCTGCTCAGAAGTGGATTCAAACCACCGAAGCAAGGATGCCATTCTTTACCCATTAGACTTGTCATCCTTTGTTATTTCAACATATTGTACGCACTAGTCTCGTAGCCATCTCTTCTAACATAACCTTTTGGCATCTTCTTTTATGCTTCCCTCAAACACCATTGTGAGATTGAGTATTCTTATTTCATGCTGTAATGATTTTGAATTTGTTGACTGTATTCTTCATGTTGTTAATGCTACTATATCTTTTTACTACAACACAATCTAATTTTTACTTCATATTCTTCTCTTTGTACCTAACTTTCCACACACCTCTAGGCTCCAACTCAAACTGTAGAGCTTAGAGGTGCACCATCCTATTTTCAGAATTCAATTTGTGTTTGGAGTAAATAGTTTTCCCGGAAATGGGTTTTACATCATGCAATTCCGGATGCTGAACTGGATGATATGGGTTTTACATCATGCAATTCCGGATGATGAATCTTCCTCCTCCTCCTCCTTTTTATTTATTTATTTTATTATTTTTTTCTTCTGCGACTCTGATGTTCCTGGCAGTGAATATTACCTGGAGAATGTGTCAGCTTTAGGGTCGTATCACCACCACCAATTTGATCAATCAATTATGATTAAACCCTTAATTAGTTGGGTTTGTTATGTGAACCATGTTCTGCTCTATTTAGTTGCTCTTTCTCACCCCAGCGCAATATGATGGAAATCCTTGTTAGTTGGGTTTGTTTGACGGGTCTTCTCTTATTTCTCTCAAGTGGTAAGCTAGGCCCAAATCCAAGTTAATCTCTCTGTCTGCTGAGTGCCGCACCTCTATTTGTTTTTGCAATGCTAAGTAATGCCCCTGTACACTCAGTAATCTGAAATGACTATAATACACTCTGTAATGCTTTATTCTCTACTTAGATTTAAATCGATCGTGTATCCCTGTGTGCATTTAATTGCACAGTTCTGTGTAAACTAAACTTTCTGCATTGTTTTATGACTTGGTCAGTCTCTCCTGATGTTTCTTACTCGTTGCCTGTTTCTTTGTGAAATTGAAATCATGGCCAAGTTGATACATGTGATGGAAAATACACAACTTCCTGCTTGCCTGTATATTGCATAATTTGTCTCCTTGTCTACTGTAGTGGAGGACTGCGTTTGAAGCGTGATATAACAGAGTATGGGGAGTTTGTTCGTAGTTTCAATGCCCCTTCTGTTGATGAGAAATTTGAACAGCTGGGCATGTAAGTTGCTTTTATTTTGAATAATTGGCATGCCTTCCACAAAATATGATATCATCCTGATTTCCTGGTTTATCATCTTTTTCCAGCATGGCAAATGTGTTTATTGTTGCTCCAGAAAGTCTTTCCACACTGTTTGAGGGAACCCCGAGCATTAGGAAAGATGCACAAAGGTAATTAACATTTTGAAGTATTCTTGTAGGCTGTGAGCAAACAGACTGTTCTCCTGCAGATATTCTCATAAAGTTAGATGTGTTTTTTACTCGCACGTCTATCATATATTTCAACGAAAGGAATTCCGTTATATCAGCAATAAGATACTAGAAAGATTGGATGATATCAATTTTAGCAGGTCCATTTATGAGTTCATTCAATTAATAACGAGTTTCATAATAATGAATATGGTCAAGGATTTGATATTTTTGAATACTTCCCTTCTCCTTTTCATTCTTTGAATGATACTTGAACATTGTGTTGTCTGCAAACTCAGGTTCATTCAGCTTCGGGAGGATTACAAGAGTGCAAAGCTTGCAGCGAGACTCAGCTCCTTATGGCCTAGCTCTAGTTAGAACCAAAATCANAACATTTTGTTGTCTGCAAACTCAGGTTCATTCAGCTTCGGGAGGATTACAAGAGTGCAAAGCTTGCAGCGAGACTCAGCTCCTTATGGCCTAGCTCTAGTTAGAACCAAAATCACATGCTAATTAGAGTTGAACTTTTATTATAGTGGTGAACTGGACAGAGTGCAGTTGTATTGTGAGCTTTTCCACCACCTCATGCTGGCTGTCTATTACCCGAGCTCAGTGATAAAGAAACATCGTTGATACCAGAGAAATTCATCCTTGGAAGAAATTAATTTGGAGCCCCCTTTTGTGGATATCGTCATTTATTGTTTACTCAAGATCTACTGGTATATGTTTAATTTTTTTTTTTTTTTTTTTTTTTTTGAAATAGATTTGGAACATGCAAGGTTTTTGCGAATTGCGATAAGTCTCTTTATTTGCTAGGTGTGCAGTTGTATTGTCAGAAGTAGATAAAAGAAATGTACCAGTTTACTGCTATAGATATTGACCGTCTGATTGTCCTATACTTGGATTAAAGTAGTTATAGTAGAGGTATCTTCTTTACCATATACAGAAATTTAAGGATATACATGCTCCCCGTTTGAGTCTAGCCTACTAATTTGTGGTTAAATCTGTAAATGATCCTCCCAAGAAAAAAAAGAAGAATTGGAAGTATGAATTTATGAAGCTAAGAAGAAGCTTTGACAGACGTTGGAAACATATTTTAATAGAATCATCATCTTCACTTTTTACAGCTCTTAAAAGATGATTTTGTTAAAATGCTAACTAGGTTCAAGAACTAAAATCAAATGTCAGATTTAGTTGATGGTCTGTTTGTTCAATCGAATAACATGAGGACCAAAACAATACACAAGGGCCAAACTCCCTACTTTCCAACTAGTTAAGCAAGAATGCCTTAGTTCAATTGTATGATTCACTCATTGGCTAACGATATTTGCCCTTTCTCTCGAGAAATTGTTACTTGGGTACACCAAACCAGGGAAAATGGGGAACACTTCCTACCATTATTTTCGGGAGAAGTGCACAGTTAGCCTTTAGCCACACTTTAAAATGTATTTACTCTTTAGCCGGTGCTTCATAAATTTTATCCGTTCAGACGAAAATACTCCTTTACTAGACATGGGTGTTGTGAATATATTAAAGACATGATGTCCTTAACTTCATGAATGTTGTGTAAATATTAAGGATAAAGTGTCCTGTATTTGCACCTTCCGTTGTTAAACTTTAGGACGTCATATCTTTAACTTCATATGTGCAGTGTAAATGTTAAGGATATGGCATCCTTAACTTCCTATTTGCAGTGTAAATGTTAAGGACATAATGTCCTTAACTTGTATTTGCATCTTCTCTTGTTAAACTTTAGGACTTCATGTCCTTAACTTCATATGTGCATTGTAAATGTTAAGGATGTGGTGTCCTTAACTTCATGTGTGTAGTGTAAATGTTAAGAACACAGTGTCCTTAACTTTATGAGTGTTATGTAAATATTAAGGACATGGTGTCCTTAACTTCATGAATGTTGTGTAAATATTAAGGATAAAGTGTCGTGTAACTGCACCTTCCGTTGTTAAACTTTAGGACATCATGTCCTTAACTTCATATGTGCAGTGTAAATGCTAAGGACATGACGTCCTTAACTTCATGTATGCAGTGTAAATGTTAAGGACATCATGTCCTTAATATTTACACAACACTAATGAAGAAAGGGTAAAAATATCTTCATATTAATTTTAATAGAGTAGTGACTATTTTTGCTCAGCATTAAAAATACTGGATAAAAACTAAATACCATATTAAAAAGTGGTTATCCTACGCCATTTCTACATTATTTTCTTGTCCAGAAATACTGAGATTCGGTATGTATATGATATAACAAGAAAATGCAGAGGAAATTTCGATTAAGATTACTTTTGATTAGCCATTCTGCCCAAAACTGCATTTACTGAGCTCCCCCTTACTTGGCGGGGGATCTTTTCTAAATGAATCATTTGCCCTTCAACGCCAACTCCTGAACGCACAAAATGTGCCTCTTCTATTAAAAATTTACTTTTCTATACTAGAGAAAACCAATAGGACTTCAATGACCATAAGATCACTTGATTCAACTTTTGATACTACGATTCAAACTGTGATCTTTCAGCCTATTGGTGTCGCAAATTCTCATGATATGGTTTAACTTTTTAACTACATACTGATCCTATGTACTGTACTGCGCTAGCTTCTTCGTTACTGGAAAATATTGGCATACTTAATTTGCATGACAAATTTAAGGTTATTTAGACTCCATTTGACAAGGAAATCAACTATTTATAGGGATTGACATAACGTTATAAGATTGAAATGCTATCACTTGTCTTTCTTGTATATCTTCATAATTGAAGAGGAACCCCTTCAATTCTAAGAATTATACTTGCCTCCTTTCAAGTATAATGTCATTACATTAGACCAAATGAAAAAGTATAGTGATAATCAAATATGGCGTTATAAGCAACGACACAAATGTTATAATACTTTCACAACATTAATGTCTTTCGTTTTCAAAAATGACACTGAGGATCCCAAAACGACGCAAAACAGAACAAAAATTTGCAAGTTCTTAGGTTAGGAAATTGTGACTTACATACAGATTGCAAGGATATTTTCTTTCTTTCTATTTTTTGAGAAGTATTACAGGGAATATATTCTCTTCATAATATAATTAAAAAATCAATTTATGTACAATATGGGATTAGGAGATTATCTCACCCCACAAATTCCTTCTTCGTAGAGCCAGAACCAATGAAGAGTTAGCCTTTTTCTAATGCTGCATTCTCGCGGAAAACCATTACAGGGCAACCCCTAGAATCCAGAAGTGCAAAGCTGTGGAAAATGCCACTTGCATGGACATGATATTTACTCTGGTCGGATGTAGTGTATCTAAAATAACTGGAAGAAAAGGCTAGTGGATCCATCACCAAAAGATCTTAGATCAGCCGGTCTGACCAATGCTCTGCACAGAGGGCAAGTTCTTTCTCTTTCAAACCTAAATAGAAGGTGAACCCTTTTAGCTATTAGAAGAACACTAACTGGTAGCAAAATTTAGATATAGAACTTCCTCATTTAGATGATGCACACAGTAACAAGCAGCATCCATAAAACAAAGAAAAGAAGAGAAATTCACAGTAGAGAAAAAATTTAAGTGGCACAAAATATACAGCACGAGAGACAAAACGATCAGCTTCAACATAAAAACAAATAGGCCAATTTACAAGAACGAAAAGAAAATGTATTACGAAGTTATCTGTGGTCAGCAAAAAAAGTAGTAGCAACGCCAATCACAATCTCCCCATGGACCACTAAGTCATTGGTTTGATTACACTACAAATCAAAGGAAGAGCAAACCCTATTTTGGGACTTTTCATACTTCCCCTTAACAAATAATGGAAATTATAGCATCAAAGTTCTCTATCCAATTATTTTTGTAATAACAGCAGAAGGGATTATCTAAAATTCAATCTCTCTATCCATCACCTGTTGTAGTTTTCTCCATTTAAGTTAAATTTCTTGAGTAAGAGCTACCCCCTCCAAAACTATGGGAGTGACACATAAGGTAATTGCCAATGCTAAAAATAAAGTCACTTCGTACCGTTCATAACACTCAGATTCTTAATTATTGGTTAAAACAGTTTTGGTGAAAAAAAAACTTCAATGGTGAATTATATACTGGAGGTAGCCAGAAAAGAAACTTCAATGGTGAATTACATACTGGAGGTACAGTTCTTCACAGGGTGAACTGGTTATTTAGTCACAAAGATATTCCCATAAAAGGAAATAAAATTAGAGCTACTCCAAAACCCCAAGAACTGTAGCAGTAGATGGGAGTCGTGAACTATCTATTTATGTGACACTGGTATAAATCGCGACCACTGTCTTTTTCTTTTCACCCCTTTTCCTGTTTCTCTGTTAGTCAAGTAAGACTTCATTTCCACCATTACCAAAACAACATGAGACTGAGTGCTAAAATATTATTTTGAATACACCAAAGCTCTTTCATTGCTAGAAAAATTGTTTCACTTGTGTTGTCAGGTTAAGATATTAATGATCTTGGTGACTAGTTCAGCATAGCAAAAGAATCTAATACAATTGCAACAATCCTGTTCTAATAGGATATCGTTAAACTAGAGTCACCTAAGCATTCATTTATTTCTTCATTGGGAGTTTCCTAGTAGGAGCCCACAAAGATGGCATGACTGTCAGTTACCCCCAACTACCCCTTTTGTTGCGAAGTAACACTACTACCCTGATTTCCACAAAGTTATTGACTCCGAATTGACAACATTTTGGAGTAATGCCGACATTTTGCTAGAGAAAATAGTATAAAGCACTTCGTAATGCATTTGTTCAACTAAAGGGTTTTCGTGAAGAAGTGCTTCAGAAAGACTTACCACTCTGAGACACAGTCTTCACAGAAGATGTGTTTGCAACGCAACAAAATTGGTGCATGCATCTTCTCCTGGCAAATAGCGCACAGATCACCAGCCGCATTTACCTGCGTAGACATTTAAAATCTAAGTACACAACAGTTGTCAAAGAAAGCTAGAAATCTTCAAGACAATGTAAAATGAAGCAAACGAATCCAAGGAATAGCTGGACAAAGAGAATATTCCTGAAATTTGTAGCTTAAAACATCTAGTGACACTTTAATCCAAACATTCATTAAGCTTGTACCATAAAAATCTACTTGCTTACATTAAGCGAGAAATGGCTTTGTAAAATATTTTCTAGCTGAAATTAATATCTTCTAGAAACATCAGAACTTTAATTCAACTAGTATTTCTCATTTTGATGATTCTAGATTTTAAGACAATTAACTTTTTCTAGAAACATCCAAACTTTAACTCAACAAGTACTTCTAAATTTGCTGATTCTAGATTTCGAATCATAGAGTCTACCCTCTTTAGGTAACTGAGACGAGGCCTATGCATAAAAAGGCTCCAGTATTTGGCATGCCCTGCTTGTCTGGATGCATGAACAGGGGATGGAATGGACATCTCAATGCAGAAACAATTTCATCTACTTGGAGATTCAGGGGTACCTTTCTTATATTTAAACCAAAAGAATGTTTTAATCAAAGTAATAATATGCATCATTTCATAATTATCTCAGACAATTTTTCTATTACTCTGCCAATGCAAATCCTGTCAACACATTTTGTTTCCTAAGATGTTTACAAGTACTTGTTTTATATGTATGTGGGTGTACAACTGTACACATATATATAAAGGCAAACAAAGAATAGGTTTTAGAACGTCAGTAAATGTTGGTAATACAGCTTTGCTTTATCAAGTCAGAAGCACTTAGCAAAAGCTGATTAAAAGCAAAAACTGGTCAACTATTATAGTAATATAGTTGCTCTAGCACTCTAGAGTCTAGAGAAGCCATGGGAGGTTCAAAGAAAAGATGATGAAACTTCTTATCAGACCAAATCAAAATGACAAAGAACAACAATCAAATTTTTGGCATCTCCCAAGAATAAATCTCAGGAGCTTTGCAAGCCAGTAATCAGTAAAAATATGATACCTGCTCAGGTGTGGCATGAGACCCATAATGGACTTCCTTTTTGGACAATGCCTTCAAAGCAGTATAGAATGATTTTACCTAAACAAAATAAACTGAGTATGAGGGATTGCGGAGGAATCATGCCAAAACATTTTTTTTAACAAAAACATGAAGATCAAGTAGGGTGGGAAGGGGGGTTCCCCATGAAAACTTGATATTAGCAAGATAAAACCAGATATGGTCAAGCAGATACAGTAGTTACAAAAAGACCTTACCTTCTCAACAATTGAGGTAAGCTTAAACGTCAAGTACAACCCCGTTGTCAGTGATGAAAAAAGGCTGCCGTAATCCTTATTGAGAAAGAATCTATACCAAACAGGAGCAGGTAACAGTCCACGATATAACAACAGTGTGTACTCCACCAGAGTCAGCATTTGACCCTACAAGACAACACAGTTCACTTTTCTTGCAAAGATGAATAGAGAAAATCAATAAATTACCACATAGGAATCTGCTTAACAGTCTACCTGTCTACGAAAATTGTGGCCCCTGCCATTCTTGTAATACATAAGCAGCACCAACTTCAAAGCCATTGCTGCCTGACGCACCATCGTATCTGGAATCAACAATAGTTAAGACGAAGGTGAGGATCAAATCAATACTCTTCCCATGAGATTTTAAATGTAACAGCTTTCCATCATTACCCCTCAAAGGAGGTAAACAAATTCTGGTACAACCTTGCATTAAGCCCTATTTCAAGTGCAGGCTCCATTAAACTGAGGAGAAAACATTTCCCCCCCACCTTTTTTTTGGATAACCTTGGTGTTCAAACTGGCTTGCATTCACCTCACCTAATTCCACGAGATACCTGCTACCTCGCACCAGCACAGGTACCAGGTAACTCTACCCACCAAGGCTTGGAGAGATGGGAAGAAATCATAACAATATAGAGAAAAACTGGCACACCCTATTAAGACCTTGTTTCAATTGCATACTTCATTAAAACTGACACGAACGGTCGGTCTAATATAAAAAGAGAAACGCCAGAAAGACATGAACTATGAAAAGAGGCCCTTAGTGGTGTCTGAAAAAAGGCCACACAGCAAATTGCTGCTCGGCAATATTTCATATCGTATCAGGATTCCATGAATGAATCTACTTTCTTCTTCCTTTTCCATTCCTTTGTTTATCTGGGAGATCTGGCCCTATCTTTACGGGTTCTTTTCTTTCTTTTTTCTTTTTCCATAAGTTTGGTAGAGTGGGGGAGAAGAAGGTATGGAGCGGGTTCAGAAGGAAAGAGGTTTTCCACTATATGATTGCCAGAAATAAACCTGACTTCCGAACCCACAAGAAGGGGAAAAAGGAATAAATGCATTTGAATTTATTCAAGCGAGCAAAACAATGGCCAAAATCAGAAGAACATGTCAGATTTCAGCTATGAGTTCAAAAGCACCTGATTTCATTCTTTAGTGTATTTATGCAATTGATAACAATGCATTGGGAGATTATTGGAAGGTCAACAGCCTGTATACTCCATAATAACGTGCGAACAACAAAGAGAAGTATTAGGCAGATCAAGAACCATACCATTTACCAGGATCATGAATATAGCATGCCAGAAAGGTGGGATGACCTTCGGAGGAACCATAAGCAATGGATAGAAAAGGTCATCATTACGATACCACCAGTAGATTCCAATAACATGAATCACGAAAACCACAAAATAACCAACAAGGACATCTATCTTTCTCTCTCCCTGCAAAAGCCAAAATTCATAATTGCAGGATTCTCAGTTTTCCTTAATCTTTCTACTGATGATAGATGAAAATAGAATATGCATTGAAAGAAAAAGAAATCAGAATTCAGCAAATGGAGCACATATTACACCTTTAATGCTGTCTGCTTCCGAAGAATGTCATTTGACTTGAACATGAAGGCAGTGATCCAAATTGTGACAAAGAAACCTGCAGTCCAAGAATTAGAATATAATGGTGAATGTGATTCAGCATAAATAAAAGTTAGCACGATATACATGTATTTACTTATCCCCAAAAAAGCATGATATACATGAATCATGAAACAGGTAGAGATTTTCTTAGAAAATAGACAATCACAATTTGCTTGGAAAATTATGGATTTGTGCATTTTAGGTTGAACTTGTTCATATTTTCTTCTCTGGGGAATAGCTTTTACCTTAAAAATATCCCAAGGCAAAGAAAAAGAAAAACCAAGCTTATCACACACGATCAATTTAAATTGTCAATAATGCTACTTCTATATCAATTGGTGTAATTGGGTCCGAGGGGTCGTTTAACAAACATTACCACCTTCACCATCAAAATGCTTTCATATTCAACAACTTCCATCAAAAATCGCATATAAGTTATAAGTTCCTAATTAATTTCATGAGATTATCATTTATCCTGGCATATCTAGCTCAACTGATTGCAGTTATCAGTACATAGAAACACCAGCAAACAGTTAAAGAATAAATATTCCATGAAGGTTTCTGTTACACCAAGACCTGATATGAGGATATCAAAGAATCTAATAAAGGACACTAGTGAGTTAAATCCCAACATTCATTGGTAGTCGTCAAGGCACTCAAGCCTAGGGAAAAACCGAGGTCAACAGTGTACCTATTCTATAGCCTCGATATATCGATTTACTTGTTCATACATTAAAATTGAAATTACCATGAGAACAGAAGGCTACTCAGTTTGCTAGTTCGATGCATGTGTATTCCTTTTTATCTGCCACGGCATACACATATATGCAGGAATATGACTGCATATCACCCAAAAAACTACATCTACACCTGAAATATTGAGTGGAACCTATCAATTTACATTAACCATAGATTGCTAATAGCCACAGCCCACAGATCCTGTGATTTGTGATTCATTGACCATGACCATTCAACACCCTTTAAAATACAACATTGCTAAGCCAGCCAAGACATTACATACAAAGGTATAAACCCTAATTTCCCAAGCTATAGCAATACCGAAACAATAACACCAGATTCATCAAAAATTAATCGCATGCTCAACTCACAAACTCAAACTAAGACATCTCATATTCTTTTTGCATAAGCTAAACAGCATTATCAGAGTAATATTAGTACAAAGTTCTCAAAGTGTCATATACCTTGCAAATGCTGGCGGATGAAAACAAACAAGAGAAGCAAGGAAAATGGAAGAATCTGCTCAATCCACCTTGCCACTTGCTGTATATCAAATCTTTGGTACGTCGAATCCCTATTATTACTCCCAGCATCATCATCATCATCCTCAGCACTAACAGTAGGCACCGTGGACGCGTCCACACCAGAACCCTCCCTCTCCTCAACAGAACCACCGCCCTCTCCCTCCCCACTATCCTCACCCTCAGTTATTCTAATTGAAACCTCCCCACTACTGCTACTATTAATATCTCCACTAACATTGGTATTATTATCAGCTACAAGAGGCTCCGTTTCTGGGTTATCGGGTCGGACCCGAAGGAGTCCGGAATACTCAAGCAAAGTGGAAACTGGGGATTGGAAGAAGCGCAGCGGACTGAATTGAACTCCAAAAGTCGTCGAATTTGGAGATGTGGGAGAAATATTTGCATTTTCTGAACCATCCAAAGTATCCATCAGAAGAAAATGGTAAACAGAGGTTTTTGTATAAATTGTATTGATCCAAGAATGAAGATTGTGGGCGTATTTTCTTGGAGATGAAGAATGGGATATTATGTGAGTTTTTCTGACACACAAGAAATGTTCAAATCAGGCAAAAGCAAATTGTAATAAAAGTCAGATGAGTGAGAAAGCTTAATAGTAGTAGTAGTTAATGTTAAAATTAAACCGATCAATGAAGAAAATAATAATTCTACTATTACTATATATTGAGCTTTAAATAATGACATAGAGGGGCGGAGCTAGCGGCCGAACTTTTGGTCCAAATTATGTATTTATCTTATTAAATTTATTAAATATATATTAATTTTTAATTTAAAACTCAATAACTTTAAATTATTAGAACTCCGAACTCATAACTTTCAAATAATAGCTCTGCCTACTAAGATAGCGAAACAAAATATAAAATATCTCAAAGAGAGGGAAAGAGAGGGGGTTTAGGAAAGTGTAAAGAGGATGGCATTAAACAATTAACGTGTAACGTAAACTTCCTTTTTGTTTGCTTGAGACAAATAAAGAAATAAAAAAGCTTTTTTGCATTAAGATAAGAGCAAGTGTTTGTTGAATAAGAATTACATAATGCTGATGGCGTACACGGTCCGAAACCGAATACTCAGACGCGGCGCTGGGTTATACAGTGCCGGTGCACATCTTTCAACTTGCTTATCTCTCTAACCATAATAAATTTTATATTATGAATTTAATTTTTAATATTTGTCATATTTTTCACTTATATAATATATTTCATATCAAAAATATTAAATTTTGGTTGAATTCGTAACTCAAAAGCTGCATTCGCATTTGCCTTCATCAATCCTACGAAATACGTTAGTTTTATTATTAATGATATTATCATTATTTTATATTATTATAATGTAATATTTATGTTAATTTAGTATGTCATAAGAAATTCTTTATCTTATTTTGTTGATTACTAATTTCACTTGATATAAATAATTGTTTACATTAAACTTTTAACTAATCAGATAGTAAAAAGAAGTTATATTATCAACAAAAGTTAGCTCTATTATTTTGCGCCTTAAAAGACTCTTCTTCTTACTCCTGCCATTTCTTAGTTTACTTTTTAAACAAGGGATATTTGCTGATAATTGAAACTTTTTATACCACCAAGAGTCACTGCAGAATAAATAGGATCTCTCCATACTTAGTCAGAGGTCTCGAATTCGAGCTTTGAAAATGAAAAAAATTCTAGTAGGAAGCGTTTCCTTCATTTATGGACCTTACGCAATGTAAATCTGGATTAATCAAAACTCCAATACAGAAATCGTACCCCAAATAAAAGGAAAATTTTAAACCTTTCACCTTAACGCAACAATTATATCACAGAAATTTTTTTATCTAAAAACTTTTGACATATTATGTTTTTATGAAAGAAAGTGATGGAGTAACTTGTGCAAAATTAACAAGTTGCGTAAATAAAAGAATTAGAAAAGTTACTTCATAGGCTTTTGAATACTTGGTTTCCAAATATTCCTTTTTAGAAGCGCTGTGAGTATATTGGATTAGGTCCATTACAACTGGATCAATCTCACCTAATGAATTATCATTATCTATCCATAGTATAACGTATATCACAAAAATACATTTAACCTGTGGAAGACTTTCCTTATTTAAGGTATTGCTTTCGCTGGTATTTTTCTGAGTCTTTTTTTCTCTTTTTATTTTAAAAAAGACAATATAATTAATATCTATTTATCTTTCTTTTCATTTCTTTGTTTAATTTATCCCCTAAAATAGAAATATGAAACCGAAGTAGTGATTTGGCATGTCATCTGTTATGCATTGACTAGTGTAAAAATTATTTAAACAATCATCACTTGTGAGATAATTACTAATAAATCTAGCTTTGTAACAAGCATAGATTGATACCGAATAAAAAGTGTCAACTAACTTATTAAGTAATTTACACTAACAGTGTAAAACAATCTTTTCATTTTCGCGTTCATAACTTAAATCCAATACGTATAATGATTTTTGTACACCCTATAATTAGCTCGTCTACTATCCCCCATTGAGCTATAATGGCATAACGCTTCTAAAATCTAGTGAGCCTTTAATTTATCCCTTAAAACAAATATTACAAGGAATCGAAAATGATGGGACTTCTTCTAAATTAAAACAGCACCACCTAAAAGACCATGAATTAGCTTACAAAGGCTGACTCTTTAGCATAATGATTTGCCATGTTAATAATTTTGACAGATGGAATTATATAACTAGTACTGATTAATCATTAGCATTGGGCTGTGGTTGTCAACAATAATTAAGCAAATGGCAAATATTTAGTGGAGTAACTAATAATGCTATCCGGACATTTTTAAAAAATGATGGAAGCTAGCGAATTTTATATTTGTCACGCAGAAACTGCACCTTTCCAATTATTATTTTAATTATTTTTTTTGGTTAAAATAACGAACTAAATTTCCTCCCAAAAATTGACTTTCTCACTCAAAAAAAAAATAAAAAAAATTACAAACTGATGAAAGGGAATATTACTTCGCAGCAGTGGCCCACGAATATCTTCAAAAGATATGACATATTGCTAGATATGGTTAATAAGTAGGATTTGAGTGTACTCTAAGCAAAGCCACGAACAATATTAATCTCATATCAAATACACTGATCAAAAGGAAGTGATTACATATGTCATATATGATTAAGGTCATCAGCAGCAAAATGAAATGCGCAAACCCAACTTCAATGATTTAACCCTCTAACATCGCCCCCTATTACAGATGAGTTTAAATTGCTACATTTAAAAAACTTTTTACTTGTACTAACTGTTACTCCACCTGTAACTGCAGGTAGCTTAACCTCATCGGTTGGTAGGGTACATAACAATAATGATGGTATTAGTTATGTTGGCATTAGTTATGCTGAGATATTTCTTATCCATTGTTTGGTTTGATGTATTAAAGCATTGTACAATTTTTAAAAGAATTGTTTGTTTACAAAAATGCCCTCAAAACCAGTCCATCACTCCATCTTTGTAAAAGAAACATATGTTAGAGAAATATTTTTAAATGAAAAAAGTTTTAAAAAAATTATTTGATTTGTCTACTAATATTGTAGTATAGAACTGAATATTTATTTATAAAAAGGAAATATGCTAAATATTTATTTATTTACTAGAGATATAATTTTATTTCTCACTATTTGGATTATTTCAAACTTGAATTAATATAATAGCATATTTTAATTAAGCATAAATTGTGAAGGACAATTTTGCATTTAACTAAGCTAATGCATGCATTAAAACCCATTGCATTGTTAATACCATGATTTTCTATGCATTAATTATGCATATGATAATATCAAATAGGGTGTATAACTAATGCATAGATTCAAAATGTGTACCAAACAAGGCATTATTAATACATAAAGCTAATGCATGCATTATTTTATCTAATGCATCCTACCAAACGACCCCACAGTGTAAGAAGATTAAACATTAACCAGGAGCGGATGTAGCTTACCGGTTACGGATTCATCTGAACGATAACTTTCAATATAAAATATAGTAGAATATATGTAGAAACTTGTTAAAATCTCAACAAATATAAGACATAAAATAATTTTAGTTGAACGGTAATTTAATGCTAAAACTCTTAAAAGTTAAACCTTTTAAATTTAAAGCTTGGATCTGTCTCTCCATATTAACTTAAACTCATTAAATATAACTTAAAATCATTAAGAACGCACAGACGGCGACCTTATTCAAAAGCATCAAATACACTACCGTTCATTCTACTATATTCAGCATTATCCTTTTGTTGCCATATTCTATCCAAGGCTTCAACAGGGGACTTGAAATCCAAACTTAACCTGTGTGGCAAGAAAGATATCCACCCCTCTTCAAAAGGCTCATGGGCCAAGCAGATATTACTCTCCAACCCTACTATAAAGTAATCATACACTAGCTTTATAATCACGCCCAACTATGCCCTATAAGAAGAATTAAGCGGTCGCTGCAAATATAACCCGGTTCAAGTCCGGAGTCGAATCCCACAGGAAACTAACCTATTTACTACAACCTTAAATAATGCTAATGATAAGCTCAGACAACTTCCAGATGCAATAGTTTTATGAATAATCAGTGGAATTTTTTTAGCCAAGGAAAAATGATAATAAAATTAGCAATAATCAAGAATCATCCCACCAAAGCTTCGTTATTTTTAACCCCACTTTTAAATTCAAGTAATTAATCTCTTAACTTCCCCCAAAGTGGTGTTTTTCAACAACAATCTAACCAAGTGTTCTTTCTCAAGCAACACAAGGTGAATAGACACGATTAATCGAGGGCGCTTTCAATTAACCACAATACAATACGTAATTGAACAATCATAGAACAAACACGGCTCAATTATAACAAAATAGAGTCAAGACTTCATCCAACAATTGGTTCCATCAACCCTAGATAACAGATTTAGCTACTCATACTAATGAAAAATAAATCACTAAAATAATTCATAATCAACAAATAGAAGTATCAAGAAGAAGATGAAAACTCTAGGGAATTTATCTGTCTTCTCCCCCTCGTTCTTGCCTCTAAAATCTTCTAAAAACAGTTATGTCTCACTTCTGGGCGAGTTTAGGTTTCATATAGGTTTAGGTTAGTCGCCTAAAAAATTACATAATTAACCCTGCGTGTTTGGCTTTTGTCCGCCCGTCCGCGGCCGCGGATCCGACCGCGGATTTGGACTGCCTCACTGCCATGAGTTCGTGGACCACTCCGCGGCCGCGCACCTGGAGGGGTCGTTTCGCTTGCTTTTCTCGCTCCTTTTCGACCGGGCTAACCTTCGATTGCCCTTTCACATTCCATGTTGACTCCAAAACACTCGTTAGCTCCCTCCTAGCTCGGAGTAGCTCCTGCAAAGCATCAAATTCTTAATTAGAGCATTTTGTTATCTTTTAGCATTCAAATATCAATAAAGTGCGGCTAAATTAGAGTGTAAGTAGTGTCTAAATTACATGAATATAGCCTACTATCAACACCCCACACTTAAACCATTGCCCGTCCCCGAGCAATCAAACCACACTGTAAGAGGCTTCACTGAGCGACTTCCCTACTCGTCACACCAAGAATATTTCA